GTTTCCGTCCCCGTCTTCGTCTCCAATATCTTTGAAATCGACGTCTCCATCGCCATCTTGGTCAGCCGCAATCACGTCGTCCATATCGACGTCGCCGTCATTGTCGATGTCCGCCACGGCGATGTCCTCTTCATCCACGTCTCCATCGTGATCCGTGTCAAGCACGTCGTCCTCGTCAACGTCACCGTCGCCGTCCGTGTCCTTGAGGAACACGTCCATGTTCTCCACGTCCGCCTGGTCGATATCTCCGTCGCCGTCCTTATCCGCCGCCATGAGATCTTTGGCGTCCACGTCACCGTCGCCATCGACGTCTAGAATGTCAGCCGCATCGACGTCCCCGTCTCCATCTCGGTCCGCCGCAGCCACGTCGTCTTTGTCGACGTCGCCATCGTTGTCAACGTCGGCAGCTTTTCTGTCGTCTTCGTCAACATCACCGTCATTATCGATGTCGGTGACGTCGATGTCCCCATCGCCATCAATGTCCGACAGAAGGACATGCTCTCCATCATCGTCTTCATTGTCGATGTCACCATCACCATCCTTGTCGGCCTTGATCACGTCGTCCCCATCTACGTCGCCGTCGCCGTCCTCGTCTCCAATATCAGCCACGTCGACGTCTCCGTCATGGTCCCTGTCGGCGGCCGCGATGTCATACTTGTCGACGTCACCATCGTTATCAATGTCAGCTACATCGATATCTTCCTGATCGACGTCACCATCATTGTCCGTATCAAGAACATCATCCTCATCGATGTCGCCATCGTTGTCGGTGTCAGCGAGGATGACCTTTCGGAGTCGGAAGTCGTCGCGGTCAATGTCACCGTCGCCGTCTTTGTCCTTCACGTCCAGGTCGTCTTCGTCTATGAAGCCGTCGCCGTCAAGGTCCTGGACGTCTGACGCATCAACGTCGTTGTCTCCGTCTCTATCGCTATGCTTCAGATCGTCCTCGTCTACGTCACCATCATCATCAATATCTGCTGCCTTGATGTCAGTTTCATCAATATCTCCATCACCATCAATATCTAAAACATCATCTTCATCAATGTCTCCATCACCGTCCGTGTCTGCAAGTAATGTATGTTGATATTTAACATCCTTGATGTCAATGTCACCATCACCATCGCGATCTTCCAGTTCTAGGTCATCGCCATCAATTTCGCCATCGCCATCAAGGTCAAGGACGTCAGCGGCGTCAACATCTCCATCGCCATCTCTGTCGGCTGCCTTGACATCATCCGCATCTACGTCACCATCGTCGTCTATATCTGCAGCCTGAAAATCTTCTAGATCCACATCCCCATCGCCGTCGAGGTCTCCTACATCATCACGATCGATGGTGCCGTCGCCATTGCGATCCTCGAGGAGAGAATCCTCTTCATCATCATCGCTTGCATCAATGTCACCATCACCATCTTTATCAGCAAGAATAACATCCTGCCCATCAATATCGCCATCGTCGTCTTCATCTCCTATGTCTGCAATGTCAACATCACCGTCTCCATCCCGATCAGCTGCCTTAACGTCATCCTCGTCTACATCCCCATCGTTATCAATATCAGCAATGGCTTTATCATCTTCGTCTATGTCACCATCGTCGTCAACGTCGATAACATCATCAGAGTCAACATCTCCATCGCCATCCACATCCGACAAGAAAATCGACTTCAACTTGTAATCCCGAGCGTCAATATCGCCATCGCCATCTCTGTCTGTGACTTCGAGGTCGTCCCCGTCAACTCTTCCGTCGCCGTCCAGGTCGAGGACGTCTGCCGCGTCGACATCCCCATCTCCATCTTTATCAGCAATTTTGAGGTCATCTTCGTCGACATCCCCGTCATTATCAATATCTGCTTCATCTAAGTCCTCTTCGTCGATGATTCCGTCGTTGTTGATATCGCCAACATCGTCTTCATCAATGACCCCATCTGCATTTTTGTCTTCCAAAAGAACGTTTTCCTCGTCCTCATCTGCTGCGTCGATATCGCCATCTCCGTCCTCATCAGCTGCGATAACATCGTCTCCATCGAAATCTCCGTCTCCGTCCTCATCACCAATGTCAGCAATATCGACATCTCCATCGCCATCCCTATCTGCAGCTTCCACATCATCTTCGTCGACGTCCCCATCATTATCGATATCAGCGACTGCAATATCTTCTTCGTCAATATCTCCATCATTATCTGTATCCAGAACATCGTCCTCGTCTACGTCGCCGTCCCCATCAGTATCACCGATAATCATATTCTTATTTCGGATGTCCTCCTCGTCCACATCGCCGTCCCCGTCTCTGTCTGTGTGGTCTTCCTCGACCTCCTTCTGGAATGACCAGCTAAATACAGGCACAGCTGGCACCTGTGGTTCAGGCGCTTCCAGGTCAACCGTGGAAGATGTCCTAGAAAAAGGTCACTTATTCAGAATATTGTAAGGTTCATACTGCATAGTATTTAAACAAGAAAAATGAAAATACTGTAACATGTTCATAACATTTTTATTTATAAAT